CAGTGTCTTCTCCCAAGGTTTAAGTACGCGACCCAACTTGTCCTCGTAACTTTTTTATTTTACCGAAGTATTGCGATCTAATTTGTTCCCTGACATGCCCCGCCCGTCCTCTTCCCGAACAGCAGGTGCCCGTGAGCCTGAGGGGCGTGCTTCACACATTCTCCAGGCGGCCCCACAAGGAATCCCTACCGTTTAATTTTAGAATAGTATTTGGCGAGCATATGTAGCTTTCGATAAATTCTCTTCGGGCCGTTACATTTATATAGGGAGGGGTACAAAGTAACATGCTGGCAATTATGTTATCACAAAACGCAAATTAGTCATGGGGATGAGGAAGGTGGCGTGGGGTTGATAGTAATCAGCTGGTTGCAAGTTGATGAGGGTTTATTGAGTAAGGACAGGGGATGGGTTGGGTTGAAGCGGTAGAGAGCGCGAAAAGATGCAAGCAGTTATGTAACCGTTGGCCAATCCAAGCTCGGGCTTGCAGGAGGTTCTTCTGCGCGCACCAGACCGGCTTCCTCAACCGGATCGTGGTTGCTCCTGCTGCTGCTAGCAAACGCTGACCCAGGGACTTTGGGTAGTTTGGCGAGACCTTGTAAATTGCCTTAAAGCCGAAGCCTTTGCTTGCAACAGCAGAAGCAACCGCGATCCGGTTGAGGAAGCCGGTCTTGTGCACGCAGAAGAACCTCCTGCAAGCCGCAAGCTTGGCTTGGCAGACGGGGTAGGATTATGTTGTGGGGTCGTCTGGGGAAAGTGTGAAGCGCGCCCCGCGGGCTATCGTACACCTGATTTTCGGCGAGAGGACAGCCGGGACAGCCGAGGGATATTTTTGTTCAATAAAAAATTTACGAGGGCAAGTTGGGTCGCGTACTTAAACCTTGGGAGAAGACACTGAATGACCTTTAATATCATCGCTAACCCCCCGCCCGACCAACGGCAAACGCGTATATGGAGGGGGAGTGTGCCCAAGCCTCGGGCGAGGTAATTGAGAGACATTTTCCAGTGGTATCACCAACACAAACTAGGAAAGAGTTTAAAGAAGAACAAAAGTGGCGAGATTATGTAAATCACTCTACTTAAAATTTGTAAGTAAGCGACAATTCCCGTGGTTAGTTCAAAAGGCCATTTTTTCTTAGTTTGCCAATTATAGCAATTATGGAATGCGGTTGCCTTCGAAGAACCGCTGTGCAACTCAATGCCATCAGCAAATCCTAGCCGGATCGATTGGCGGCGTGTAGAAAAGCGGAAGCTTATAGGCAATTCAACCTACGGAATATTTGTAAGTAGTTGGTTATTATATATAGGAAAATCTACAACACCACGATATTATCTCACCGCCAGCGGTTACGTAACTACCTGCATCTTTTCGCGCTTTCTACCGCTGCGACCCCCCTCCCCAC